CCCTCGCGCAGCACAGCAGGACGACCACCTCCAAGCACGTCGGACATAGCACTGCTCTTCCTTCACGGTGGTGATGAGACCTCCTGCGCCGATGTTGCCGACCAGGGACTGAATAGCAGCAGCCCCGCGCGCGCGCCTGGCGCAGCACCCCCTCGGCGTCTGTGGTCCTCGGACCGCTCAGCCGCGTTTCCTGGAGGAGACAAACGTCTGCAGAGACGACCTCCGCAATCGTGCACTTGTCCAGGTTGGCCTACGAATTTATGTTCGCCGTCGACATGCGCCACTGCCTGCTACCCAAGCCTCTGCTTCTTCTGGACGGCCGCGCTCCCGGAAGTCCTCGAGCCACTTCCGCTTCTCGGCGTCGCCCTCGCAGAAATCCCTGCCGACCGCCTCGAAGCACGAGCCTGAGAGCATCACGACATCGGCAACCTCTTCCTCCACCTTCTCGACCGCCGCGCCCGGTGCAGCAGGTGCACAGCCGCCGCCTCCGCCTGCCGCAACTGGGCTCGCGGCTGGAGTCGCCGCAGCCCCGGCGTGGGGCTGCGCTGCATCCGCCTGCTCGTCAGCCGCGATCTGGTGTCGGGTGTGGATAGATAGACCTCCTACCCTGACACGTCGATGAAGGAATCGGCCGTTTCCGGTTCGCGAGGGGGCGGCGCGGCCGTCATCTTTGCGGGTCCAGGTCCGTCGGTTTCGGTCCCAGGCCGTTTTCCATCAAGGGAGGTTTACTCAAGGGAGGTTTGTCCACCGCCGATGGTTGACCAGCGCTCGCAACGGGCCCGCACCCCATGCAGCGAATCGGTGACGTCAGCAGCCAAGCTGTCGTACCTGTCGATCGGCGCCGGCGCCCGAGGGCCGTGATCGGGCGGCTGCGCAGCCTCCATCTCCGTCGCGAGCGCCTCCCTGGCCCTCGCCACCGCGCCGTTGAGCTCGGACTGCAGGTTGACGACCTTCTGCTCCTGGTGTCGCAGCGCCTCCAGCGCCTCCATGGCGTCACGCTTGCGGCGCTGCAGCAGCGTCTGCACGCTCCCGGTGTCGCACCGCCTCCAGCGCCTCCACGGCGTCACGCTTGTGGCGCTGCAGCAGCCTCTGCACCTGCTGCAGCTGCCGCGCCTTCTCGTCGGCCAGCACCCTGCGCCTTCTTGACCTCCTTGATCTCGCTGAGCTCGCCGAGCGAGGACTTGGCCAAGAAACGCCGCTGCCGGAGAGTCCGGCGGTCTCCAGGAGACAGGCTGATCGCCATGAGGTCGAGCTCCGAGCCGTCCATCCGCATATAGTGGTCCCTCCTCTCGTCGGTGAGTTTAGGCTGTCCGCCGTCTGCCGCGCTGGCCGCACCAGGCCCGCTGGCCCGCTCACCAGCAGGAGGACGGCGCACGCCGTATCTTACCAGCCTCGAACGTATCCCTATCCCTAAGATGGACACGCCAAAAGGCGATGACAATCTTAGGGATTCGCCCTCATCAAAATAAGGGAATCCCCGAAGATTGGCATCGGGATGAGGAGGTGCCCAGCACAGGGGTAGGGATGTGTTCCAGGCCGGTAAACATCACGCGCACGGCGGCTCGGCGGCCTGCAGCCCCAGCGGCCAGCCTGCCGGCGCTTCGCGCGCCGCCCGTTGCTGGGCGTTGCGTAATGGGGGGGTCATAAATGGGGGGGCGGCGAGGGTGGCCCGAAAAGGTACCCAAACGGTACCTGAACGAGCCCCCTGGGGCTCCAGAGGGGCCCGAAAGGGGCACGAAAAGGGACCGTTTCTGGCCCCCCCATTTGTGACCCCCCCATTAAGCAACGCCCAACGTTGGCCGACGCGCCGGCGCCAGGCGCACGCCTCCAGTCGGCACCACACCCGCGCCGTTCCCGCACGCCCGGCGCCGCTCCCGCCCGTCGAGATATGGGGGGAGCGAGGTGCGCGCCCTTGGAGGTGCTCCTGGGCGGGACACTGGACAGTGGGCCTCGAGCGAATGTGGCTACGAGGAGGAGGAGGAGGACGAGGAGGAGGAGGAGGAGGAGGAGGAGGAGGAGGAGGAGGAGGACGAGGAGGAGGAGGAGGAGAAAGAGGGAGAGGAGGAGGCGGAGCAGGAGGAGGAGGAGG